GGCCCCTGCGGCTGTGCCTATTTCTGAAGGTCTGTGGGGAAGAAGCTTTTTGTGGATCACACGTATCTCTTCAATATCCTGGGCATTTGTGTCCTAAAGGGCCCCATTTTATCACTGTGGACACTTGTATTTTGACAAAGGTCCAGGCCATTGCATCTGCAGGGGTCCAAGATGCACCCGTGACTCATTGAGAAGGCTTTGCTGGTGGCAAATCTTTCATTGGTTTTGTTGACTTCCTCAGGCAACTTTGACTTCAGAGACTATTTTGTTGCTCTCAGCATCATTCATTAGCATTTTCCTTCCCACTGCGGAGATATATATAAAGATGTCCTTTCATTGCCTCTTGTGTGTAAACATACTCGGGTACTTCTTGCAAAGGGACTTTTATGTATTTATAAATCGAGGTCATTGTGGTGCAGGCGGTTACTTGAGTGCACCATGTTCATGTCTGCTGCTTTATTTATATACAGGGCTACATTATCGCATCTGTGGAATGGCAAGTAGCTGAAGCCTCTTGTGCCACTAAGACAAAAAAACACGTGAAGTAATCTACAGAGGAAGAATTGCTCATGACAGGCCATAAGGCAATTCAAATGCTGTGGAAATTTGTTAGAGGGTGTCTATGTAATGATGTGCCCAAACTGCAGACAACCAGAGCAGTCTGGCTGAAGAGCAGGATATTTTTACTCCATGGCATGCACAAGGCGATGGAAGCTGAGATAAAGGTTCAGTTCCTGGGATTGTGTTTAAGAAGAATCCCAAATATCATAAGATTTATGGTGAGCTAGCAACACTGGGAATGAAGATATCTTTCCAGTAGGATATATTATGGCATGTCTAGCAAAGAAGTGCTGTGGGTTTTCAATTTATTACTTCCTACTTGTTCTACAAAATAGAAAATTTGGATTAGCGCATGCACTAAAGAGCTGCTGATGTAAAGATCCAAGCCTCCCATCCTTTGCTGTCATACGTGGTGCTGACTACTGGGAGAAGTCGTGTTGTCCACCCAACATTGTAATGCTGGGGTTCGACATATTGTCAGTAAGACACCTGCTTGCAAACAAACTTGAGTGGGAAAGCTGGAGGTCTGGTCACCATGGTGTGCTTTCTGGTGAGGCTTGCTGCAGGCGAATGGCCAGATTTTGGGGCCGTTGCTCCTTTACCAAAGGGGTGGATGCGTTCCCCTTCATGTGGTGGAGTTTTCTACTGGCAGAGGCCTTGCTCTGTGAAAACAAACAGGAATGGCATCATCTATCAAAAAGGATGTTCTCCCATACCTCATCTAGCTATTTATCTCCCTTGTGTAATCGCAACACGGCTCTCTTTGGCAGGACCCTCGGGCACGATTTCTTTGGGATAGGAAAAGTAATGGACTTGATGGCTCTGCAGGCAGCGACTTCTCCGGCGGGTGGGAGGGATCTGCCATCCCCCTGTCACGTCTGGCAGAGGGGCTGCCCCAACAGCTAAAAAAGTTGACATGACGTGCCCGTGTCAGCCGAGACCACGGCCTTGGTGGTGGAGATGCTGGGGAGAGTTCCCATCCCTGCGATTTGAGCCGGGCGTGTGTGTTTTTTATGCTGCTTTAGCAGGATAAACCTGGCGGGCTTCGGGGAGCTGTTGGGAAGAGAAAATGATGGCTGTGGGTTGGGCACGTCACCATGAGCGTCCCAGGGTGGCTGGGGAGCGCTGGCCCAACAGAGTCCATCAGAGGAGCTGGGGGTCCCCGGCTGGGCAGCAGGACTGAAGTCCTGCCCGGTGGCACCAGGGAGATGATGGGCTTGCAAAACCCCATCGTCAGATACACATGCGTGTTGGCAGGGCTTTCTTCTCAAATCCTGCCTACGTGCTTCCCCTGCGCCATTAAAACTAAACACTATTTTGGCTGAGGAAGCCTCTGACTGCAGTGGCCGGGGGCTACCAGCTGAACTGCAGGTGTGAAAACGCGGTCAGGTTTGCTGTGCAAAGCATGGCTCGTTCATAGACGGGATGCTGCAGACCAGGGCCAGTCCTATCAGTGGGTCAGTTGCGCCGAAAAGTCCAAGGAAAGGTAAAAACAGGAAAGCTGGCCCCCACACGCGTGTGTGTACGTGGGGCTGGGGTGCTAGGCAGCACAGGGGTGCAGACCCATAAGAGCTGTATGAGGGCAGTGATGTGCTGACTCCTGATGAGATGGGCTGGGATAAATCAGCGAGGTTAACGACTGAACAGGGAAATCCTGCTGGGAAACACATCCTTGACCTTATTACGCAGCCGCTGGGGGCTCCAGCTCAATCTGCTTGGGCAGAGCGGAGAATTTCTATTTGTATGGCGTCCTACATGTTATAATGACGGGTTTGTATTTTATTAAAGCAGAGCTACTAGCGTCTGGGACAGAGGGACGAGGGTGTTTACTGTCTTGGTGGTGCTGAGACCAGGCTCAGCGCAGATCTGGAGCCGGGGCCAGGGTGCTGGGCACAGCCGGAGCAATACGGGACAGGCGGGGGCTGAGAGCCCGCAGCCCCTGGGAATTACAGAGAGGGCTCATGTTTAGCATCACTGTTTTCAAGTAGCCATAAAAAGAAATGTTTGTAACATTTCAGGGCCTGAGCGGGAATACTGGCTCCATTGAAATCAGCAGCATAACTCCCCCTGAATTCCACACGGGCAAGGTTTAGTTCTCTTGGCATGAAGGCTCTCAGGGTTTTTGATTTCCTTGCTGCGACTGTCTTTACTAGAGCTACAAGCATCAGTCATGTGCATTAAATGGGGATAGATAAACAAGAAAAACTAAAAATTATAAGAAGAAAGTCTGCAGCTGCATCTAGCATAGATTGTTCTCATTTATGTATTTCCTTTGCTGCTCTCATCCAAATCAGGATGAACAAAGAATTCTCTGAGATGCGATTTATGTAATCACAAGGAACCCAAAATGCTGGTTTTTACTGAAAATTCTCAGCCTGGCATTTTCCATCATCTCTGCTAAAAGGAAATCAATGTCTCCAGTTTGGATGTTTCCCAGGGAATTTTGTTTCCATATCTGAAAGCATCTCGTGTTCACAAAGCCACTAACGAGTAAATGTGATCAGAATGGCATTGATTTAAATTTGGGTAAATAGCAAGCCTTGGGGAGGGGTGCAGGGCCTGATAGTTGGGTTCACTTGGGTTTCTGTTCATATCTGCTTGATATTTTTACTTTAGGAAAGCAGAAAAAGACTGTATGTTCCTGAAAGAGAGGTGAAAAAAAAAACCCAAACCTTTTGAAATGTGTTACTATTTATTAATATCCCTCAGCAGACTCAGCACTTCCGCACAAGGGGCGTACTGCTCACCAGCCTTGCCCTCTGACCACCTCTCCCAGTTAACCTTCTCCCTTATCAATGTCTTTCCAGCAGAAGATGCTGGAATACCTTTGGATGGGAGCATCTGCAGGATGACGGCACGGTGGCACGGGGCCGCAGCCGCGACGAGCTCACCGGTCCGCGGCACCCGGCACCGGCACGCCCGAGCCCGGCTGTCACCGGCACGCTGGTCACGACCGTGCTTGGCAGGAACACGGGCCACGTCAAAGCACGCTGCTGCCATTCAGCTCCAAAACGAGCTCTAAATCTCCTTCTAGGCTGGGACAAAGCTTTCTCCGGCTGGATGCTGGCAGCTCTGGAGAAAAGCCAGGTCCTGGCCAGGAACGGAGGCGGCAGCCGGCAGGCAAAGCCCGCAGGCAGGGAGCTGGCAGCAGCAGGGTCGTTATTTCCAGGATGCGTGAATCCTGGCGAAATCAAAGGGAAGCCTTCATCAGCTGAAGCGTGTCAGCCGCATCCTTCAGGAGGAGCGGATTGAGGCAGAAGGAGGCTGTGATCACCGTAAGCGGCGCTGGCAGGCTCGCACACTGTCGCCAGGCACCCCGCAGCACGTCCTGGCAAGAAACGATGGTCGCCTTTTGCAAGAAACGATGGTCGCCTTTTGCAAGAAACGATGGTCACCCTTCGCTGCCGCACACCTCCTTGCTGTCTGTAGGAGTCTGGCCAGCGTTTCGGGTGGTGTGGGTGGTCATCAGTGGGGCAGCAGGGTGGTTTGAGGAGGTTTTAAGCCGCTGCTGGGAGCAGCGCATCGAGCCATTAGGCTGCATGACGCCCTCAAACACTCGGCGAGTGACTGATTAAATACGGCTTAGAAATACCGTAGTTCATCAAGCCTTCAGTGGCTACGCAGTGAAGAGCTATTTAACTATTTAGAAAGCGTCACTGTAAGTTGAATGTACTGGTAACTAATACGTGTGTCATAAATGTGTCATTTTATGCCGGTGGGAGTTACATGAAGTATATGCTGTTTCTGATGTCTCACTGTAGGCAGCTAGACCAACAACTTTAAAATAAACCTCTTCAAGAAAATTGGTTATTTGTATCGAGTGCCCTCAATTTTCAGCTTGAGCCAATATTTACCTATTCAATCAGACCGGAGTTAAAATAAAGACTGACTGATAAGTATTTGTTTAAAATCCAGAAGCCCTCCACTTTTCTTTCTTTCTTATCTCAGTTTTCTCGACTATCAGCTTGCTGTCACTAATTGCCACACCTCATCACTTTTCCACTAGAAAGCAGCCTGGGACTGATAAGAACCAAATATTTGGAAATCTGAGCTTTATTTGTTAAAAAATACACCTATTCTGGGGGAGACGTGAAGAGTCCCCCCCCCGAGCATCCCCTGCAGGACTGCCGGTCCCTGTGCCGGGCCACGCCACGTACCAGCGGCACCGACCTCTGCTTTAAGTTAATGGTGAAATGTCACTTGACACCCGTAGGGTCCAGACTTCGCGTGGAAAGGGATGTAGGGGATCACGGGGGGGGGGTCACTTTGTGCACACCGGGGTGGAGGTGGATTTACTGCTCCTGCCGCTTGCGGAGGGGGAAGAGCATCACGAGAACCTGGTGCGTGCTCCCAGGGGATGCTCCCATCGCCATCCCACCCCCCCCAACCCGCCACGGGGCTGGCTGACATCCTTCTTTCTGCTACGTTTCTCTGCCCAGGTGATATACCGAGCCCTGTCACCGCCTTTCGCCGCAGAAGACCCGTACAGCGCGGAAGCCCAGGCGCAGCTGAAGATCACCAACCTGCGGGTACGGTTGCTGGAGCGGCAGGGTTGCCCATGCCTCCCGGCCATCCCGACCCCCCGGTCCCCACAGCCCCCGCCGCCCCTGCACTACGCTATCTACGACTTCATCGTGAAGGGCAGCTGCTTCTGCAACGGCCACGCTGACCACTGCGTCCCCGTCGCCGGATTCAAGCCCGTCAAGGCGGCTGGTGTTTTCCATGTGGTATGTACACACGCGCTCAAAAACGGCTGCACTGCAGGGAAGCGGAGTTTTTAAAAACAGTAGGGGTGGTATCGAGTATGGTATACGTCCAAGTATGCGGTATTTGACGTGTGATGCCCTGAATTCCAAGCACAGTGAGCAAAAGCGGTCTTTACAAAGGAGGTGGTCTCCATGTTGGGCTGAAGTGCTGGGCTTCCCTTGTGCCTTGGTGTGCCTTGGTCCACCAGGACTCTCATCCTTCAGGGGTGCTCCACAGTCGTTTATTTATTTATTTCAGTTGGATCCTTAAAAAAAAATTAAAATTGCTGAGTCCCTTCTTCCCCCAAATGCTAACTTGCAATAACACAATATCTAAAAGATAATAAATGCAGTGCATCTTGATGACAAAGACGGAGGAGAGCTTCTCCGGAGGTACTAGGCATCTTGTGATTGCCATTGCTTCTGGATATTGGGTTGGGTCCTGAACTGAGGGCCCAGAGAGCTGGGTCTTGGCTCTCACTTCCAGGCTTTCTATTGCACTTTGCAATACCTTCCTTCTCCAGATGAAAACCCTGTGCTCCAGTTTTGAGCAGCTGATACATTGGGTGCCTGTGGCATGGCATGCCTGCACCTTGCTGCTTTGGGGACACTCGCCGCCCCTAACACATCTTGTCCTTTCTACCCATCTTGGCTGGCTCTGAAAATCCTGGCTTTGCTGGCAGAGGAGCAGTAGGGAAAGCCAGGGCAGTCAAACATATTGTGCTGAATAATGTTAGAAAGGGAAAGATCATAAAAAACCCATAAGGCAGTTACTCGAGGTAAGGAGGTCTGGCATCTGTCCAGCTCTTCGGGGAACTCTCATTTCACTTAAATTATGGTCTCAGACATGAAGCAGACAGCACGTTTCCCTTCTAATACAGCTAGTCTTGCAACATCTTGAAAATATACCAATTTGAAAGCGTGCAGCGCTATGATTGATAAGGCTTTTTCAAGTAGCACTGCTCTGCTTTCCACAGATGTTCCCTGAGCGAAAGTCTTTGCAATGAGCTGTTTGCTCAGGATTGTTTCGGTGGGATACAATTGCACAGGAGCGTGCCCTGAGAGTTGTAACAGGGCCTGCAGCCAAATATGCCTCCAGTATAGCCTATGGAAACCATGGTGCGCAGGTAACAGGTGGTGCTGTGGGAAGGAATCAAGTGCCAAAATCGCACTGAAAACCAAAGCAAGAAATAGCAACAAGCCCCCACGCCAGCCCCGAGGGGATGGGAAATTCAACTCCGGTTCTAAAAGTGTATGTGGCAGGAGTCCCAAAGGTGACTTTTCTGCAGTCAGGCTGACTCATTTTACTGTGCCTTACAGCTTTTTCTGCATGTCCCATAAGGGACGTGCCCGTGTAGGGGTGACATAGCCCCATGGTTTGCAGGGAGGGTCAGGGAATGGTAAGATGTTTCCTCTCCCAATACCACTTTTTCCATCATAGGACCAGGGCAGCTGGGGCTGAGCCCAGTCCATGCCAGGCTCCTGCCTGGCACGAGGCTGCTGCAATTTGGGGACTGCGGTGGCACCCCACTTGTGCATACCAGGCTGGGGTTTGCCGGTGCGTTGCTTCAAGGTGGGAAAAGAGGATTATTTGCAAGATGATAGCAAGACGTGTGTGTGTGAATGAACAGAAAAGGGATGAAGGATTGCGGGGTCTGTGGCTGCTTAGCTGGGAGAAGGCAGAGAAACTTCCAAAAAGGGAGTGGGATTTCAGAGAGGGAGGATTTTTGTACATTAATCTGAAAAAATCACATTAAAGCTAATTCTGAAGAATTATGGTCAGTCATTCAAGTGTGAGATGGGGACTTCAGTCTTGTCTTTATGTAACTGTACCTACATTGGGTTTTAGCAGAACCTTCAGTGTAAAACCAAGGACAGCAAAAGCTGGGAAACACATTACCATTTCACAATATGATTATAAAGTCTGGCTCTGTTTTTATGCTTGTTTAGACCCGACCACTCCTGAAGAATATCCCCTAAGTTAGAGAGTTAACATCAAAATTTAAACAAGTTTAAGATCCTTAGAAAAAAACAAACAAAACTTTTCCCAAAAAAGTATGTGCAAGTTTTTTTAACTTGGTCTTAGCCCACAGGCAAAATCCTAACTGCAGGCTTAGTTTCAGTCCCTGCTTGGCCAGCGGAATACCCGGACATGATATATTTGTTTTTCTCTTGGGCTGCTCTGGGCAGTAAGCCAGGGTGTCCTGGCAGCACTGGGCATAGCTACCAGGTCTCGGGCAGATCTCTCAAAGCGTCCAGAAGCATTTCAGCCACCTCACCCAGAGATCTGACAAAGCCTCGTAGGGATGTGGGGATGCTGGTGGCTGCTGCTCGGGGAGGTTTGGTGCAGGGACCTGACCCGAGGGGGCCAGGATGCTCCACTCAGCCTGGGACATCGTCCCAGCTCACTGCCGCAGGATTCCTCCCATCGGATGCAATTTTCTTCTCGAGGGCTGGGCCATCATGTGCTGAGAAGGCTAGGGTTTTGAAGGTAAATATTCTGAGTGGCTGAAGGGAGGCTAAGTCCAGCTTGGCCATGAGATAATACTGACCTGGGACATCCTCGGGGTGTCGGGGTGGGATGCCAACAGGGTGGCTCCGTGGACAAACTGGAGCTCCTTCTACCCCAGCAGAAGCAGCTCGAGCTCCGTTCACTGGGGTGGGATAACCTCCTTTGTGATCCCTCTAAGTTGAGTCAAAGCAAAGGTGGACTTCACAGAGTCCAAACATTCACTGTGAGAAAAAAATACTTCACATTAGCCCCAACAGCAAAAAGCAATAGCCAGGGCCTGATAAGAGAGGAGGTTCGTTTCTGTGTGCTCACCACCATCCAGCTGCAAAACTCTCCGTGATGCTCCGCTCTGTGGTGGTCGCTGTGTGGGTACCACAGAGCAAAGCTTGCCAGCAATTCCTAATGGAGAAATGAATTGATGTAGGAATGCTCTGGGTTCGTTTGAGCATCAGAAATGCCGTGTCAGCCTTTAGGTGAATTCTGAATATACAGGTAGGCTCCTGATCTAGGGGAGGGTATCTCTCCATGAGCTGCAGGGGAAGACTGCAGGGAAGACCTGGCTGCCTTCCAGTGATGGCAAGGGCTGCTCCTCATGGGTAGTGTGATCCTGACGGTCCCTTGTTATACACTTGTGTGCAACAGACAGCTGTCAGGGTGACACAGATACACTTCCTTCTCTTCCCTGCTCCTCCCAAATTTATTCAAAGGGTTCCTACCCAAAGCTCATCAACAACAGCCCAGGAAAAAATGTGCGTGGACAAACGCACCTCACACCACACCATGCAAAGCAGTTGGGTCGGTTTGTGAGCTGCATTACATAGTGAACCACCAATGCGAGTAGAGAAATGGATTTATATACACAGGAGATCCCTCCTCATCTTCAGTGGCCGTGAGAAGACTGTTTCTTCCACTGATCTGTAGCTTAGGAGCTTCTCACCCCTTGCCAGTACCTCTGCACATGGAGCCATTGCCAAGCTTGCTCGGCCCCTTACCAGCTAAAGCATCCCCATGGCCTGCTTGCAACTATGGCAAGGTCGTGGAAGAGGAGATCAGCCTGGAGATAAGTAGGATCTTGCAATTTAGGACTCCGAAATGGGGAAAGCAAACCCAGAGGTACCTCACCTGGCCTGTGCAGTTCTGTCTCAAGGTGAGGGCAGGAGTTCATCCATCTTAGAGACTCCTTGGCCCTCCCTGACTGCAGAACCCTGCAACAGCTAAGTGGTCTTCATGGTTGGCCTGCCTTACCAGTCTCTTACAGGGCCGTGTCCTTGCTGGGGCTTCCTGCTCTTACCCCTGTCAGATGAGATCCCACTATCAACTGATGACTTCATTATCTCATTGACAATCCAATATTATCAACTATCTAACGGTGCCAGCTCTGCCCTTCCTTTCCCCTCCTGCACTCCCGCTAGTGCAGCCCTGTCTGCACGTCTTTCACCTGCATTGAACAGAGTAAGAACAAATTAAGTGATCTGGTTTTGTTCATCCTCTTGGTCTCTTTTTCCCCTAATGACAATTTTAATAACACGATACAGCAGCTATCTTTGCTCTGAAGAAAGGAAGTGGGAAACTAGAACTTAGGGATGAAGAATCTTCAGTGGACTTAAAATATGTGCCCAAAGTGGTTTGGTGTGGTGCTGCTGCCATACCAAAATGGTACTGCTGCAGTTACACTTATACACTTCTTCAGTAGTCCAAGGTTCTGTGTCAGTGTAAGTCAAGGACTTTTCCAGGAACTGTGCTTTATTTTCCAGGCTGAACAGACAAACCAGCTCCAGAACCTGATCAGTGAATGCAGCTGAACTTGATTTCTGGCAGCTGCCTGACAATTACACACCAAACCCCAGCTATACCTCCCCTAATTTTAGGCATGCATTTGATGTACCCAAGTGAGCCAGCTGATCTCCCCAGGTTCCTTCCAGAGTTACGAAGGGATGGGGGGATACAGTATGGTTGGGATCCTGGGTAAACTGAGCTACCGTGCTAAAGCACTTTGGTATAGTCAGGCAGGGTGAATATTCCTCCCCCTTCCCATGTGGCCAACCCAGCGGCTGTTATAAATTGCTATCGTGCTACTGACATCAAAAGATGCTGAAGGTCTTCTCCAGCAGCACTGACAGAAGCCTATTGTACAAGGAATTAAAAAAACCCACCAGACAGCCCCCACACCCTGGACAACAAGCTTTGTATTCTTTCACAAGAACAAGATAGGATATGAGAATTTTCTCATGCATAAATTTGGTTGTCTGGTGCTTTGGGAAAGAATACCTCCCTGCGTGCTGACAGCAGCCAGTAGGCATTGTTTCTAAAATTGGCACAGGGGCTCGAACGCAACACAGTTTAAAAGCTATCGTTAAAGACCCAGCATGAGTGTCGTGATTTTCCTTTAGGCTGATATCAAGCCCATTTTCCATGAAAGTAAAAAAAAAAGAAGAAAAAATAGAGAAAATACAATTTTAGCAGTTCCAAG